GGGGGGGGGGGGGGGGGGGGGGGGGGTCTGCTGTTCCACCCGCCCCCCCCCCCTGAGTTGTTTCCTTTGTGGCTTTCCCCACAGTGCACGGCTTGACATCCAGCAACTCCCAGCAGGACTCGGCGTCCAAATCTCCGGAGCCTTCCGCGGACGAGTCTCCAGACAACGACAAGGAACCTTCGAGCAACGGCGACTCGGGGAAGAAGCGGAAAAGGCGGGTGCTTTTTTCCAAAGCGCAGACTTACGAGCTGGAGAGGCGCTTTAGGCAGCAGCGGTACCTCTCGGCGCCCGAGAGGGAGCACCTGGCCAGCCTCATCCGCCTCACCCCGACGCAGGTGAAGATCTGGTTCCAGAACCACCGCTACAAGATGAAGCGGGCCCGGGCCGAAAAAGGTATGGAAGTGACTCCTCTCCCCTCCCCGCGCCGGGTGGCCGTGCCGGTTTTAGTCAGGGACGGCAAGCCGTGCCACACGCTCAAAGCCCAGGACTTGGCTGCCGCCACCTTCCAGGCGGGCATCCCCTTCTCAGCCTACAGCGCCCAGTCGCTCCAGCATATGCAGTACAATGCCCAGTACAGCTCGGCCAGCACCCCCCAGTACCCCTCAGCGCACCACTTGGTACAAGCCCAGCAGTGGACTTGGTGAACGCTCGGGAGGCCCAGGACTCGCAGGAGGAACGAGGGCCGGTCCGACTTTGGGGTGGGCGGGTGGAGGGCCAGGACTGAGGTCGGAGGCTGGAACGGGGAGGGGGCTCGCTTCTTCCTTCTTTGGGGCGGGGGTCAGTTTCCATTCTTGGGGGTGTTTTGTGCGCCATGTTTACAAGAAGAAAATGCGACGTTGCTAGTGGTCTTGTCTACCTACAACGACAAATTTTAAATAATTATAATAAGAATAAAAAGAATAAAAACGTAATGCTCTCGTGATTTTTGTAAAGCATGCTTTGTGCGATACTGAAGCTGTGGTCAGTGATATTATAAACCAAGGAATTAATATTTTAAAATGAAAAGAGAACTTTATTTCTCAAGATGGAAATAAAATTCTGACAATTATTAGCGATTCTAAGCTATCAGTTTGTAAATATATGATGATAGGTTGCCATGTGTTAGGGCGGACTTTATATTTGGTTTGTTTCTCATTGGGCAGACTTTCCCCTCAAAACTACAACTCTACAGAGCCAAACCTGATAGAACGCACACGTCTACCGCACATGTGTTTTATATATATATGCACGTGTGTTTTTCTGCATACATAAACGCGCGCGCGTACGCATGCATATAGGAGCCGTTTTCATGGAAATATTGCGGAAGAGCAATATCAGATATATATTGTTTTCATAGATGCTTTAATAGTGGTGCACATTTGTTTCGGTTTTGCTTGGGCTTTTTAAACTCACATTAACGACTTCCTTGTTTCGGAAACAAAATAGTGTCTTTTTCCTTTCTTCCCTTTCGTGAAAGCACTCCATCAGTTCGGGTTTGGGCAGGCTGGTCATTAGGGAGCTTCCTAGGAATTAGCGGTAATTAAATTCGATCTCTAAAGTTTGGCTCAGTTTGGGTAACTCATTGCAGGAGAACGAGGTGTGCCTCTTCAGGCGAAGTTTGCTCTGAGCCTGGCTAGGTAGCCAGAAGTCCTGAAGCTCGGAATCGTAAAACATTGGAGGCAGAACGCGCGGGGGGAGGATTCCTTTCCCAAACGCAGTCTTTCTTCCACCACCTAGCTGAGCCTTGCCCTGACCTCCCTTCATAAACGCAGGCGCCCCCTACCCACCCCACCCCGCAGGAGATAGGATCTGTTCTTGTCCTTTTTTCCCACCTTCCACCTGTTCAGGTTTATTTACTAAAGTTAACAGATTAGAAAGAGAAAAAAAAATCAGATCCCATCCCCGCCGCCTCGGCCTGAAAGGTAGAGGGGCAAGGTTCTGATTCTCAAAATAGTTCCATGTTTTTATTTTCTCGGTGGGTGATTTGTGGGGTTCGAAACTGGGAATCGTCATTCTGGCGCTTGTAGCCCGCTTATGGACTTCGGTGAGAGAAGCCAAAAAGGTACAGGAGACCTATTTAACAGCGATCTCTCTTTTGGCGTTTGAGCCCCAGCCACGCCTCCTCAAGACAAGGCATTTTAGGCTACAATTTTCTGCACATTGATTCAGCCATCAGCAAGACGGAGCGGTGCAGAACCTACGTTTGAGCAAAATGGCCCAGGATTGCCTTTTCACGCTGGACTCTTTCCGAACAACTAGGGGAAGACGATGCCGGGCGTTAGATACCACGTTTTAAGAGCGCAAAGACAAGGCCTCTCTAGCCGGAGCCTGCGAGATCGCCAGCTGCCGGAAGGCGGGGAGAAGCGCCCGAAGAGGCCACCACGCAATCTGGGTCCTTTCGCCAATAGATCAGAGACGCCGGTGGACCTCTTGCCTGGGGGACGCGGCCAGGACAAGCTCGTCTCTGAACTCTGCCCCGTTCCGGAGACAGTAGCTTTTCCCGCGGCTCAGCAAACAACTGGATCCGCCCAAGGGGCACTCGGAGCTCGGAGCGCGGTCTCAGCGGAGCTTCCTGCCAGTCGCTGGCCGGAATTCAAAGCAAATACTGTAGGCTTATCTGGCGTAGAGATCTAGGCTGCGACGCGGCCCTAATTGGCGCTGAAGGCCTGTGGGCGCTAAGGCCCGGCACCGGGAGGCAAGGGGCCCAGCGCTTCGTTTGCCTTCTGCAGCGCCGCAGCCGCCCGAGGTAGTGGAAGATCGACTCCCTTCTCTGCTGTACTCTCCCCCTCCCACCGAAAAGACCCCGCGGGTGCTTCTATCCCAGGGAAGGGGCGCTCGAGCATTCGACTTGCTTCCCCGCGAACGAGGGCCCGCAACCTCTTTGGCGCTTTGCGTGGGGCGCGACAGGGAAACGGGGAGGGTTTCCCAAATCGTGCTTTAGCTGAGTCCCGAGATCCCTGGGTCTTGCGCGCCAACTCACTGCAGGCTCCTTGCCTTTCCCAAATCGTGCTTTAGCTGAGTCCCGAGATCCCTGGGTCTTGCGCGCCAACTCACTGCAGGCTCCTTGCCTTTCCCAAATCGTGCTTTAGCTGAGTCCCGAGATCCCTGGGTCTTGCGCGCCAACTCACTGCAGGCTCCTTGCCTTGCCTTGCCTTGCCTTGCCTTGCCTTGCCTTGACCTTGCCTTGCCTTCCATCCCATCCCGTCCCGTCCCGTCCCGTCCCGTCCCATCCCATCCCATCCCTTTCCTTTCCTTTCCTTTCCTTTTTTTTTTTTTTTTTTTTTTTTTT